CGTAGGTAGCTGGGACCTGAACTAAGTGGAAGTTGCGGAGAAAACTTCGAACGCGTTCTCTCACGGTGACCAAAAAATGTCCACCTCAGAGGCACCTCCGGAGGCAGGCCGCCGCACGCCGGCGACACAGCTCCAGCTGTCGAACTGACCCGCAGCTCCTCTCAGAGCGGGAACTGTGACGAAAGTTGACTGTTAGACTGAGGCGGTTGTCAGGAATCATCTTACGGACCACATGGTGGCTCTCTCATGACGGGAGACCGCCCCGACCACTCCTGCGTCCTGGGTGGCACTGCCACCGGTGTCTTTGTGCAGGCGTCTTCTCGCTGTTTATTCACAGCACGCCCAGGTACCCTGGTCGCCTCGTGAATAAACGAGCATAAAGAGCGGTGAATTTGGTGAGACAAGAAATCGCGCGCCGCGCCGGGAATGAACGTAAGAGCCACGAGAGAGAGAGAGAGAGAGAGAGAGAGAGAGAGAGAGAGAGAGAGAGAGAGAGAGAGAGAGAGAGAGAGAGAGAGAGAGAGAGAGAGAGAGAGAGAGAGAGAGAGAGAGAGAGAGAGAGGGCCTAGAGAACATGATCCCTTTTCTCCCAGTAAGCTAAAACGTACGACACCGAGAAAATCCGGTTCTCCAAGGGGGCAAATCTTTCACACCTGGTGCTTCATACAACCAACGTAGGTAGCTGGGACCTGAACTAAGTGGAAGTTGCGGAGAAAAGTTCGAACGCGTTCTCTCACGGTGACCAAAAAATGTCCACCTCAGAGGCACCTCCGGAGGCAGGCCGCCGCACGCCGGCGACACAGCTCCAGCTGTCGAACTGACCCGCAGCTCCTCTCAGAGCGGGAACTGTGACGAAAGTTGACTGAGGCGGTTGTCAGGAATCATCTTACGGACCACATGGTGGCTCTCTCATGACGGGAGACCGCCCCGACCACTCCTGCGTCCTGGGTGGCACTGCCACCGGTGTCGCTCGACGATCGTCCTGTCGCAGCGTGCCGACAGCGACACAGACCATGTGGGACGCGTCGAGTATCGACCTCTACAAGAGCCGTGGGTTGCGGGCGTCTCTCGCAAGGGCCGACAAAGAGAGCAGATCGGCCTGACACGTCCCGCACATGTCCCCGTTCACAGTTGAACTAATTCTCACGGCTGTACACTGTTTATTAATCGGCCGTCCGCGAGCCCCTAGCTCGCCGACGGCGAGAGAGATGCCACGAGGGGTCGCGGTGGCGTCCATCGCCAGGCTCCCTAGCTCAACCGACGACCCTCCTGCCTCGGGATCGACGGCCGATCGTCATTCCAATTCACTCTGACACGCTAATCTTGAAAACGCGTCCACAACGGAGCTCCGTGTTGCTCCCAGCGCCCTCCCCCGCGCTTCCTGCGGCCCTAGCCGATGGTACTAGCATGGAAGGTCATCTGGCTACCGCGAGAGCGACCCAACTCGTCGACATCGTCCGATGATGGTGCCTCAAAGTCAGCCTTCGGAGGCTATCGTGGGGTCGAGCCGGCAGTAGCCGTGACATGTGGTTCCACCACCCCTCGTAGGCTTTGCCTCTGACCGTCACCGTTCCCAGGCTGCCTAATGGGATGGAAAGAAAGGCTCGGCGAGCGTATAGAAGCGTGCTCGACCTCGTCGTGGCAGCCTGCACGGCAGCGCTGGTAGGTGCGATGAGTGTCGTGCCACCTGACCCGAGACGGGTCGCAGGTGTCGTACCGAGCGCGTCGAGACCGTGTCCTGATGTGATCTGCACGGGTGAGTCACGTCGGCGTCAAAGGAGCGACGTGTGACCTGTCAGAGCTTGATCTCCGATCTCAGCGGCGTCGAGTCGTCTCCGGTGCGCAACAAATGTACCTCCCCAGGACGCGCAGAGGCAGCTGCGATCGGAGATCAAGCTCTGACAGGTCACACGTCGCTCCTTTGACGCCGACGTGACTCGT